ATATCTGATTGGCCGATTAGAGAGCTAAGTTATTAACGATAACAGAGGCCAGCAAACAGAGCAAATGAATATGACAAGCCTAGTGAAAGTCAATGCTATAGTTCAGACACTGTTGTTGCCCTGGCCTGTACAGCGGATTGATTGTGCATAAAATAGTACATCAACCCTCCTCTCAAACCATCTCCACCTCCTCATCCAACATCATCAACCACAGTCTTAAGAACTGATTAATTTTAGAATAACAAGCTTGGATTAGCCCATTTGATTGCTAATAGGCACCAGGCACACCTGATGGTCTTGGGTGTGGGTTTCGTCCCTTGGGAGATCGGTAATTCCCCACAAGTTCAATACATTTACATGCAATGGAAATGTTTGTGATAACGGATAAAGAGTACGGGGGCAGATGTTTCGTCCTGTTTGGGACTTGTCAGCAATGCGTACTTTTGTGTCCCTGTCAGGACTCGAGCCGCGAACCTTCGGGATGAACTGCAAACCTTTGCCTCCGAGCTACACGATGGGAAATTAACGGGCTCCCAATGAGTAAAACCCACATTCAGTACCATCAAGAGTGCCTGGTGTATCTGAACAAGCGAGTGGGTTAATCGAAGCTTGCCACTTTAGAGTTGATTGAGTCATTCGCACAAGGTGATGGACTCACGACCGTGTAACTCAGGGATGAGAGTTTGCAATCATAACCTGAAAGATCGCCGTTCGAGGCCTGGCACGGACACAAAACGTGCGCACTGTTCACGAGTCCAAAACAGGACGAAGCAGCTGTTCAGAGCTCTTTGTCGTTTATCACAAACATTTCTATGATATGTAAACTAATTATTTTATTTTTGTCTCCAGTCTCGCTTCCCGATTACAAAACTTCCTTATGTTTGATATATAATTTTTACCGTATCTTACGCAACTTCACCCCGCTCTCTTGTCTTAGCTCACAATCTTTATTTTAATCTGCTCATTTCTCTAACGTTGTCTATTTGACCTCTACCCTCTCACCTTCACCACTAGCCCCAGCACATACGTTTGCTCGCCTCTGTTATAGTTAATAACCTAGCCCTCTAATCGGCCAATAAGATATCTGTACTACCATTGTTATAACCCCACTTAACTGTGCTGGTCGGGGGTACTTGATAATTGCCAATAGCGTTCGAGATATGATTAAATTTTCGTTCATACAACAAAATATCTCATCTGGAACAAGGTTGAGATTTCCCACACGCACACGAGATAGTTCATGGACAAGTCACCATTAGGTGCGCATTCTTGTATTCACCATACCGAACGTCAGCAGTCTGCTCTATCAGGTCTTTTTCATTTTTGGTCGTTGAAAGAAGCCACCGATGGCATCCTTTTGCGTACTACTCAAAAGTGAATAGTATCTCACAACACTATCACCTTGTATATATAAACGCCTGATGCTATTTATCGAACACCGTTTTCTGAATTGAAACTGGCTAATTAGATACGGATACTATTCACTATGATAATGGGCCTCTTAATTGTATATGCTGTCCACCGCTGTTTGATTTAACCTTTACGCTATCACTCTCTTTACAATTCTATCCGTGACTGCCACAAACAGTTACAAATAAGTAACATTTGTTTTAGCTCATTCAGCAACTGACTACTTGTAAGTAACCAGCTCAGATGAGGTCCCTGGTTGTTACTCATAAACCTTGTTTCTCACCTATGGATGCATTTCTCGTTTGTAGAATCTACCTTAAAAACTGTAAGCGAGATCATCGAAGGGCCGACCCCAATCCAGTTGACTCCCCAGATATTTAAATTGAGTTGTTCTAAACTAACACCCCTGTCTGGACAATTTAGTTCGAAATAACCGCACCATTAGCAACCAGTAAAGTGTTTAAACAAAGGTCTATAATGACAGTCACCAGGTTTCTTCAAAAGAGACCGATCGGTGGAAAGGTATCGTGAGGTTGAGGCGCCACGAAATTTAGTGGTTCATTACTTTCTTAATCCACACCGGGTTGTGTTCGGATATTCGGTGGAGTATGTATACAACCAATTACTCAGTAAAATCACGAGCATTTATACATAGAATACTTTGAGCCACTCACAAGTAATGCTTGTGGTGAAGCCTAAGATTGTATATATATATGTATATATATACATATATATATATATATGTATACATATATATATATATTCTCTCGAGTAACTGGTCTGTACCAGCAGTTACTCATTCCTGCTCTTTTGTCTCACTAAAGTTTTGCTCTCGAGTTCAATAGAAACGGCAAAAGTGATTTCCTTATACGATCAAATGGAATGTGATTTACAAATCACAGTTTAGGTGCATATCAGTCAATACTCCGATGAATTAACAGTGCTCACGTGATCAAGCGGTCGGATAAATCCAAAGTTGTTTTATTAGGCGTGAGGAAAGATCAGTGGAGGTCACGGATAGAACCGAGGGTCAAGGACACCATCATCACTCGAACCGAGGAACACCATTCTACTCGACCAATAATAATGATATTATTTTTCTGCAAAACAATTGCACGTATTTATATTTTACCAAATTGATGCAATTTTCTGGTATCAATAGGCGAAATAAATGTGTACCTAAATAGTTCAGATTTATCATGATATGCTTCCTGTTCAACTTGCTGGATTTTTTCGCTTTCAGGAACATTTTCATCAAAGAATTATGCGTTGTCATCCGTATAGTACAATTAATTGAGTAATATTTTATTTTTGTTTCGTAGGTTATGATTATTTATTGTTTATAGAACGCTTTTTTAACTTGTGTTATCTGCAGATACCGTCCATTCCGTTGAAAGATTTCACATTCGATCTATTCTTTGATTTGTTTCTCCAAATATGGCCAAGGGAAGAGATCGCGGACATGTTTGCCACTTAGTAAGTTTCCTTTTGGGCTTGAACTTTTTCCACCCACTTTGTGCAATGACCGGTAAATTTCCTAGAAATGAATTCGTCGTGTGTATAGGGTAAATCAAGCATGAACTGAAAAGCTGAGAAGCACTGCTGGATAACTGTTTCGACCTGATTGGGTCTCATCTGTGCAGTGCGTGAATCCACCAACTGGTGATCGATCCCCGAACCTTGCACAGGCAGAACCCAAATATGCTACGCAATCGGCCACTGGTAAATCGCGGGACTGCATGCTTCGTGTAAACTTTGAGTGAACACAGGCTCTGTCTTTCATTTCCATGTAATCTGGGAAAACGAGTAGGTTCTATTTTTAAAAGGAATGGTGACTGATCCTCAATAACCACAATCATTTATAGACCATTCACCTCACGTTTTGAGATTTGACCCAGATGCAGTTAGATTGACTGATGATTCAAGCATCAAGTAGCAGGCGATCGTCAACGCACAACACATCACTGTTCATTTTCACTAAGAGTGGATCAGCAGCCTTGAAAAATACTAGGGGGTCAGCTGCATGGTCAAGCAGTCAGTCAAAATACCGGCCACAAAAAAAATACCTAGGGTGTCAGAATGACTTAATTTCGTGACCTGGTCTTTTAGGTGTTGAATGCGGTTAATGATAAGTGGACACCACGTATTTTTCCAGGTTTATAAGAAAATATTCGGCGAATTATCACTGGATGAAAGCCTGATCATATATATATATATATATATATCAAGAGAGAATGGAGGCGTACACTGAGTTGTAAAATGTTTATTGTAACGTTTCGATCCAAACTAGGACTCGTTGTCAAACGTAAATGAAATGAGTGAAATAATGGGATTACCGTCTTTCCGTGCGCCTGTGTGCTGTTGGTACGTCTATCAGTCCACCAATTATCACGGGTTTTGCGAGTGTGACGTAATGTTTGTCTATCTTGACGTGTCGGTTGAGCGAATTGACCGAGTGCAGAGCTTCGAGGATTAATCGTTCCCCCTTCTTCTTAGCTCACGCCACGACCTTTGCGTTATCGATTGCGATCTCGTGACCTGTCCGTGCACAGTGGTTCCAGATTTGTGACCTCGGGTCAGCGCGTCGGAGGGCAAGCTTGTGTTCGTGAATGCGAGTGTGTAGTTGTTTGCCTGTCTCGCCTATGTAGTGCTGGTTGCAGCCCAGGCACGGGATTGCGTAGATTACTCCTGATCGTTCGTGCTGTTCGACTCGGTCCTTGCCGTTGAAAAGGGATGAGCACAC